GCCGCATTTTGAAAACCGATCGCCTTCCAGCCACGTAATTGTGAAAGTATTCGAAGTGTTGTCGCCCTATGAGCCTCAGGGGGGCCTCGTCGCCATGGCCAGATCCGCTTCGACTTTTCTGTCGGGGCGCCTTTTTCGGGTCGGGTTAGCGAGGAGCGGAGGGGAGGGTGTCGACCGATGGGCGCCGCGAGAACAGGATGGCAATGCTGATTTGTTTTTGTTTTAGCGTGCAGTGGCTCGTTTCTGTCGGCAGCGAGACCGCAAGGGAAGTGAGAGGGGGTGGGCCTTCTCAGAAGGCTCGGAAGTCCCCCGGCCTTCTGAGAAGGTGTCCAAGCTTTCCCTGGAGACACAGACAACTTTCCAGAAGGCCAGAGGCATTTATGGGAAGCCCCGCCGCCTTCTGAGAAGGCATCCTCCTTCTCACTTCGCCCGCTCGCTCGCCGCCGATTCTGGGCCCAAGGCCCCGCAAGCCGCACGATCCGCAGCGAGGAGCCGATCCTGCAACAAGCTGTTCGTCGCGGGCCGTCTTTTGACTTCTCCCGGCCAGAGCAGGGCCCCATCGGCGGCCGAACCGGAGACTCCACGGGGCGGGAGCGGTTGAGCCAGCCTCGCGGCGGACGAGAGGGGGGATGCCAATGGGAGGGTTAACGAATCAGCCGCATGCAGCCGGTTTTCCTGGCGCATGCCAGCGCCGAAGACGGACGACACGCGTCGAGGAAAGGGCGTGGCGACGGAGCCGGAACCAGCTGCACGCAGAAGAGTTCGTCCCCCCCCCCCGCCCCTTTGCCCAGACATGCTCTTTTCGGCGGCGCGCCCAAACGGGGAAAGCAGATGGGGCCAGCCTTCTCAGACGACGTAGGGGCTTCTGAGAAGCCGTCGGTGGCCTAGAGGCCTTCTGAGCCTTTTGAGATTGGGCGTCGCGCAATGGGTGAGCTATAAACCGGGGGGCAGCAAGGACTGCAGAACAAGTACTTTTTAGGGCCCCTTCCCTAAAGGAGCCCTTTCGGGCCTCAAAGGGGGCCCTCAAGCCTTAGGGCCCGGGAAGTACATCTGTCTCCCCCCTCTCTTTCTCGCCCCCCCAGGGGCTCCCGGCCCCGGGACCTCCCAGCGAGATGTCGGCGAGAGGCGCTCATTGGGTGTCGCTGAAAGCTCCTGCGTGTCCTCAGCAGCGTTGTCCCACTCGCTCACAACACGCATGCTGGCAGCCTTTTTCGCAGCTTGTTCAAGACTCCCTTGCGGGCTTCTGCGAAGCTCCCCTTCCAGAGCTGGCACGCTCTCCCCGGGAGCTCCCTTTCTAGATTTCTAGAGACTGCACGTTCCTCAGGCGTCTCGACCGCCCTCGCGGGCGCCCCCCGCGGATGGGGGGGGCGGGGGCGGTAGGCCGAGGGACTCAGCTGTAACCTCTGTAATACTCTGGGTTTGACAGAGACCCATTCTGAAACAATGGAAATCAAATGATGGCACACACTCTCTGGCCATCTGCCGTGTCGAAAGATTGAACTCGCAATTCAAATAATTGGTCTGCCCGCGCACGAGACTTCAAAACCCGGCACCGGGGCTCTGTCTGGGCCGCGGCGCTGCAGCTGCAGAGCGCCGCCGAGGGCCCGGCGGAGGGGGGGGGGGCTCCGGCTGGCCCTGCGAGCGGCGCTCTGCCCGGGGGCCTGTGCTCACAAGCGGCGCACGGATGCGCATCCGCGCCCTCGCGGTCTGCCGGGGCTCGTTCCTCCTCCTCCTCCTCCTCCTCCTCCTCCTCCTCCTCCTCCTCCTCCTCCTCCTCCCTCCTCCTCCTCCCTCCCCTCCTCCTCCTCTCTCCTCCTCCTCCTCCTCCTCCTCCTCCTCCTCCTCCTCCTCCTCCTCCTCGTCCTCCTCCTCCTCCTCCTCCTCCTCCTCCTCCTCCTCCGCCTCCTCCTCCTCCTCCTTCTCTTCCCCCTCCTCTTCCTCCTTCACTCCTCCTCCTTCTCCTCATCCGCCTTCTCCTTCCCCTCCTCTTCCTCCCCCTCCTCCTCCTCCTCCGCCTCCTCCTCCTCTCCCCTCATTGGAATTCTAATAGGGTGGCCCTCTTCTCCTCCTGCCCAGCGTTCTCGCAGCTGTCGCGATCCCGCGGATACACGGTCGCACGGATAAGTTTCGCGCAGGGCATCCGCGACGAAAACGCCTCGTATACGCGGGGTCACGGCCAAGGGACCCGGGCCGCGAGGCCGCGGATACAGATATGTGTTTTGCCCATGACCTGCGCTGCCAGCCACCCGCTCTTGGGACAGGAATAGATCGTTCCAGAGCCTCCTGTAGGGGAACCGTAAGACTCGAGTGCGCCAGAACTCGGAGTTGCCGACGCTTTCGGTTGAGCGCGTCCTGGATTCTGTCGGTCCAGTTTCCGTGGGACGTTGGCAGCGGGAGTCCGCGCCAAATTTCGGACTGTGTCTCATCATTGCATGATGGCCCCTCCGGGCCAGCTAGAGTCCCCGGACCTCGAGTCTCACGTCTCCTCGATCCTGCAGCGCCCGGCACACCTTCCAGAACCGCCGGATCTCGGAGATCATCCCGACTCAGTCCGTGTCCAACCTTAGTGGGCCCTGGAAACGATAGGGCCGTTTTTTACCTGTTCCGTGTTGCCGTTTTTGTTGCCGGTTCCAGCGCCGTTTTTTCACCGGTTCCGTCGCCGTTTTTTGACCGGTTCCGGCTCCGGTTCCAATCCTGGAGCCGTTTTTTTGCCCTTTCCGGTCGCCGTTTTTGTTGCCGTTTCCATTTTCAAGGGACATTTAGCTGGAAACGGTGGAAAAACGGCCCTGCCGTTTCCGGGGCCCACAAAGTGTCCGACGTAGTTCCTGCCCTTGCTTCGTCTTGCAGAGCCTCGGGCCCGGGCGCTCTCTGCTCGGTCACTGGGCCCGCTCCAGGTCGGAGGGCGCCGGTTGCACGCCCGCGCCGGTCCTGGTCGTGCGAGCCTTGGGCCGGCCGTGGGTGAGCAGTACAGTCAACATCGTGGTCAGCTTTGCCCCTTCGGTCATCTTCGGTCCATCCTCAACCACTTTCGATGGCCCGCCCCGCTCGAACAAAAGCTTCGGCAGGGGCGTCCAAGGCCCTTGCATCCTTATCGCGCACCCTTGCTATCAGTTTTGACTGGATGCCCTCCTGCCCACAGCAGGAGGGCGTATGCACGGATCCACGGGCTGGGGTGGGCCTGGCCGGGGTCGGTGTAGGTGCACGGTTGGCGCCCTCCTACTATAGTCACCAGCCTCGAACTTATCCCTATCCCTAAGACTGACACACCAAAAGGCGATGACAATCTTAGGGATGCACCCTCAGAAACTGAGGGAATCCCTAAGATCGCCATCGTGATGAGGCGATGCCCAAGATAGGGATAGGGATATGTCCCAGGCTGGTAATAGAGGGGGTCCCATTCCCTGTCGTACCGATGCAGGTGCCCTCGGACGTAAGACGACCGCCAGGCTCCCAAGAGGGGCCCCAGAGGGTCACACGGCTCGAAAGAGGGGCGCCCGCCTCAAGCGGGACCCAGGAGCCCCCCCCCCAAAGATGGCCCCCGTGGCCGCCAGCAGGCCTCCCAGAAGCCCCCAACAGTCAGGAGGGGAACAAAAAACACACAGACACAATTAATCGTCGGTGCCCAGGAAAATCTGGGAAAATATGGGAAGTGGGGGGGAAGACAAAAACCCAGAAAATATGCGAAACTATGGGGAATCCGGTTTTTTGTGTGTATTTATTTGTTAATCCAGGGCCCCCTCGAGGGGGGCCTCAAGGGGGACCCAGGAGCTCTCCCCCCCAAAGATGGCCCCCGTGGCCGCCGGCAGGCCTCCCAGAAGCCCCCAGCATGCCTCCAGACGCGACCAAAAATCAGGAGGGACAAAAAATCAGACACAAGTAGTCGTCGATTCACACGGAAAATATAGGAAGATATGGGAAGTGTGGGTGGAGACAGAAACCCAGAAAATATGCCAAAATATTGGGAATAATGTTATTTAATCGCTTCGCTCATTCCACCGGCCCTGGAGCACTCTTGGGGCCGTCTTGGGGGCTTCTTGGGAGCGTCTTGGGGCTCCTTGGCGGCGTATTGGGCTCCCCTGGGGCCTCTTGGGGGGCTCTTGGGGGCCTCTTGGGGCGGGAGGGGGGGTAGTCGTTGGCAGCCCCCCCCCTCGGAGGCCACGATCCTCGTGAGGGGTGGCGAAAAATAGCCTCCCCCCTGGGGATCGCCCGGGGGTCAGCCGGGGATCGGCCGGGATACTTTTCGTCCGGGGCCCCCCAGGGGCCGCCCCGCGCGCGCGAACTAGAAATATTGTTAAGTAGTTACCGGAGATCTTAACGCCTCTGGCCCGTTGGGCCGGCGAATTAGTGTGTCCCAGGGCCCCTTCAAACAGGCCTCCAGAAGCGACCACAAAGCCCCCCGCCCACGAGCGAGCCCATTCTGCCGGCGAGCGGGCCTGATGCCCGCCCCGGCATCCTGCTGCTGCGCCCGGTGGGCCGACCCTGTGGCTGCCGAGCGGCCTCAGAGGGGAACGCCCGCGGGGTGGAGCCCTGGCGGGTCGGCCGGGCTCGGCAGGCGCCGCAGTCGCGTCGGGCGAAAGGGGGGGATAGCAAAGTGGGGGGGGGGGGGGAGAATCAGCTCGGGTAACAAAGGGGGGGGATAGCAAATGGGGGGGATAGCAAAGGGGAGGATAGCAAAGGGGGATAGCAAAGCTCACGTAGCTGATTTTCCCGGCGCCTCCCGGCGCCGGGGGGCGCCCATGTCTCGAGGAATGGGCCCGGCGGCGAGGGCGAAACCGGCTGCAGGCAGCAGATTTCGTAACCCTCCCTTTCCCTATCCCCTCCCTTTCGTTCGGCCCGACGCGGCCTCAGAGGGGAACCCGCTGGGTGGAGCCCTGGCGGGTCGGCCGGGCTCGGCAAGCGCCGCAGGAAGGCGGGGTCGAGGCCTGCAGGCGTGAGCGCCGAAGGACGCCGTGGTTTTGCCACGGGGTCGGGTCTGTCAGGGGGGGCGCCGCCGTCCCGAGGTGAAGAAGAAGATCCGGGAGATCGAGGACCTGGAGGCCAAGCAGGAGGCCGGCACGACGCTGAGCGCGAACCAGGTGGAGAAGGTGGCCAAGAAGGCCGGGCTGCAGACCGAGCTCGAAGACCTCGAGAACACGCCGGTGGGGGCCTGGGGGGCCCGCGCGCGGGGTGGCAGAGGTCGCGCGGTCGATGCTCAATGCCGGCCGCGCGAAGCCAGCTGGCAGAGACGGGGACTCGGGGGCGGGAAAGAGGGGGGTGGTGACTAGGGGGGGTGGATATCATGGCGGGGGCCATGATAGTTCCCCAGATTTTATGGCGCCTCTTCTTATTTCATTGCGTCCCTGGCCCCCCTGCTGGGCCGCGCACATGCCACCGGTCATGATTTGCACCCCCCCCTCTTGGACACCCCCCTCTTGGCCGCTCCCGAGGGACGGCGCGCAGGCAGCGGTCGGGGTGGTCCCAGTGTGCCCCAGGGTGGCCCATCGGGCCGCGAGTTCGGGAGATGGTGGGGTGAGGGAGAGGAGGGGAAGGAGGGAGAAGGCAAGGAGCCAGTTTCATACGGCCAGGGGGGGGAGGGAGAGGAGCGGGAGGAGGAGAGCGAGGCAGTCGTGCGCGAGGCGCGCGATGCTTTCGACTAGAAGCAAGGCTTGTTGGAGACGAAGCGCACGAGTGTAGCTCGCGTGTATACGCACGCACGTTACAAGTCAGGGGATGTCCGCTCACGCAGCCCATTTCAAGTCGTAGGTTTGCGGGTTGGCTTGTTGTCGGGCATTTGTTGTTACGGAATCCAGCGCACGCGGCGGGTTTTCGTCTTGGCTTGAAAATTTCGACCCAGAGCAACATGATCTCTCAGACCCTCGTCTGCGGCGGCTCACGACTCGTTTTTGCGGCGGTCTAACTTATCACATGCTACTCTCCCTGTTACTCTTTTCATCACAGTGTCTTTCATTATTCTGGCTCTCTCTCTCTCTCTCTTTCTGTCTGTCTCTCTCCCCTCCGCCGGAGTGACCCTTGGCGTGGCCCAAAGGGGATCGGGCATCTGTGATGTGGGAGTGCGCTCGGCCTCGCTCTGGCGCGCGCAGCGTGGGGTTTACCAATTGAGTCCACCTGGATTTGAGGCTCCCTTCGCAATCGACCGCAACGTATATGCAGAGAGTCCAACAGCTCGCGTTGGTTTCCCGAAGGGGGGCCTGGTCGACAAGGCGGCATGCTTTCCGCCACGGGACCTGACCCACATCGGCCGCCGAAAATAATTGCCATAATTTCCGTAAGGTGCGCCCCCACCAGGCCGTTGGATTGAATTCATTATTATTGAATCTTACAGGCGCCTGCGGAAGCTCTGCGCAGGGCCCAAAAACATCCACTACGGCGGACCTGGTCAGACGTCATCGCGATGCGGCCGGGCAGCGCCAGACCTTTTCGCAGCCCAACAGCGTATGTTTTCTGTCGGGGTGTCTGACTCTGACGGGGCGCTCGAATCGACCTGGCGGAATTTCGCAGTTGCCTGCTGGCGCATCACACCGACCGTTGATGCGATGCGACAGCATCGGCTTGCGCGGTTGCATTGGGCCCCCACGGGCACCCCTTCAGCCGTGCATTGAATTTCATGTTTGCTTAGGTTCACTCTCAAGTATCGCCGACTTTCTCCCCCCCCGCCCCATGGCTTCTATCCCAGACTGGTTGTGTGAAGGCCTTCTGGTAACAAGATTTGTCTTCGCATCTTGTGGCGTAATCTCCATGCAAGCATACTTGTACACGAGTTTTGATGAGAGGTGTAGCCTTAGCAGGAATACGGTATGCCGCCGTCGTCCTGTATGGTCTATTGGTTGCGCTCGAAGGAGCCATGAAACCATGTGAAGAACACATGTGGGCCATATGCGAGCAAGCGTTTTCTCCCTCTCCCTCACTCGCTTTCTCTATCGCCCTCTCTCGTGCTCTCCCTCTCTCTATCTCACCCCCTCGCTCTCTGAACACAAGTGCTTCACATGTACATAAAGGAGTCACACACATATATCTATATTTATATCTATATATATGTGTGTATGTGTGACTACATATAGATATGTACATATACATGTATCTAGGTGCATCGTACCGGTCACGTTCTCTCTCTCTCTCTCTCTCTCTCTTTCTCTCACTCTCTTTCTCTCACTGTGCCCAGGGGCCGCGCAGCACACGGCACCAGGGGAGGAGCCACACACGATAGAGTGGAAAGCCACGGTGGTCGACCACATGAAGCAGCCTGCCCGCCCCTGCTCCCTGCCGCGCGCGCGCTGCTCGCCTTTTCCGGGCGGCCCTCGCGCCGCGCGGCGGCGCACCCCTCCTGCGTGGCCCGCCCAGGGGCGCTTGGCATCGCTCGGACGTGTGCATTTGTTCCCCGGCGAGAACCATCGAGGACCATCCTGGACCATCGAGCAAAACAAAAAAAACAAAAAAAAAACACGCACGAACCCGAGCAAGAGCACGGGAAGTGGACGTCCGAGCGATGGCGAGGCCCAGGGGTGCCCAGATCCCGGCGGCTTGCGACGAGGTCGGCGCTTGTTCCCCGGTGAGCTCTGTGCGGCCCTCCTGTGGCGACCGACGTCGAAACGACAGCCGGGCCAGGCGGGAAAAGTTGCTGAAACCCGGGACCTACGCCTGCCGCTGAGCGCGGGTTCGGCGCCGTTCATCTGTGCTCCTGCGTCGCCGCGTCTACCCCTACTTCGCGGTGGCATCGTGCTCGCCGCGACGTATCGTGTCCTGCCCTCTCCTGCGTGCGCACGCATGTGCGACCACACGCAGATTTCGATAGACGTTCCTCATCGTCCGCACCTTTCTCTTGCGCCTCCATCGTGACTTCTGAGCATTCTCGTCTTCCCTCCTCCCCCTGCTGCCCCCTTCTCATTCTGCCCATCCTGTTCTAATTCCCTTCCTTCCCCGTCTCTCCTCCTCCTCCCTCCCCTCCTTTCCCCTCCCCATCCCCTCCATTCCCCCTCCCCCCCCTCATTCTCCCTCCTGTCCCTTCCCCTCCGCTCCCCCCTCACCCTTGCCTACTTCCCGTTGCTCCTCCCCTCCCCTCGTCGCCTTCCTTCCCGCGCCACCTCGTTCCCTCCCCCCCCCCCGCCGGTCTCTCACCCTCCCTCTCCCCCCCCCCCGCCCCCACCACACACCCACATTTGCCCTCCCTTTCCCCCCGCCTTCTCCTCCTGCACCTCGGGGGGGCTCTTCGGGATCCTTCGAAGACCGTGTGCGATCTCCGAATTCTGCAGGACCGTCAGTTGACCTCGTGGTCGTCGCCGCGGCCACCCCTGTCGTCGCCGCCGTCGTCCGGACAAACTCTGCTCCACATCGGTCCCCCTCCCGGGGCCCGCCCGTCCTGAGCGGTTCCTCGCGCTGCGTCCGGCCGTGGCGACTAGAGCCTTCCGCAACTCAGCAAAAATCAGCCGAGACGTCGGCGCCGACGCGGCCGCTACCTCGCCGCCGCCGTGGTGGCCGCCGCCGCCCGCGGGCGGCCGCAGCCCGTCTCGGCACGCCTCCGCGGTCGCAGGGTGCCCCAGTCGCTTGGGGGGCGCGGAGCGGGGGAGCGATGCAGTCGGCCCGCACAGTGAGGGTACCATTGCATCCTCGCCTCCTCGGCCATCCTTGGCCACTCTCGTTGGCCGCACCCCTCTCGAGAAGCTTCGAAAGGGGCGCCCGAGGCCCTTGCATCCTGCTCGCGCAGCCTTGCGATACGGGCCGACTGTACTGGGGGGGGGGCAGCGAGGGCGGCCAAAGAGAGGGCCTCTGGAGACCCTACAGGGGCCCGAAGTGGGCCCCGAGAGGAGGCCTCTGGGAGCCCCAGAAAGGGGCCTCAGGGGCCCGAAGGGGGCACCGCTCCCCCCCCCATTCCTTGGCATCGCTCGGACGTGTGCATTTTTTCTCGGCGAGAACCATCGAGGACCATTCTGGACCATCGAGCCCAAAAAACACGCACAAAACCGACAAATGCACGGGAAATGGACGTCCGAGCGACGGCAAGATTCCCGCTCATCGCCCCCCCCCCTTCTTTCGCACATCTCCGCCCCCGCCGAGGGGCCACCGCCGGGGGCGCGCCCGATGGCGACGGACGACGAGCGCCGCGCCTTCGACGCCCTGGCGGCGGCCCCGGGAGCGCCCCGACCGACGAAGTGGTTGGTGGGATCGGCCGAATCGCTGAGATGGGGCGCCGGTCATGCCACGAGCGGCGCGCGCCCGCCTCGGGGGCGGCCGCCGCCGACTGGCGGCGAGCGCGCGCGCGCGGCGCCCCGGCGGCGGCCACGGCGGGGCGCGGCGACGGCTGCGCCCGGGTGGGGGCCAGGGAGCCGCTGCGGGAGGGAGAGAGTGGTGGAGGACGACGATCAAGTCAGAGCCCCGAATCATCAGGGGTAGCTCGGGTCAGGGGTAACTCGGGTTCGTTTTTCGGGAATCCAAACCCGAGTTACCCCGGACCCGAGTTACCCCGGATAACTCGGGCGTCCAGAGCCCCGAATCATCAGGGGTAACTCGGGTCAGGGGTAACTCGGGTTCGTTTTTCGGGAATCCAAACCCGAGTTACCCCAGACCCGAGTTACCCCGGACAACTCGGGTGCCCAATCAATGGAGAGGAGGCACGTTGCCAAATGATTTCCAGATGTCTGACACATGTGTTCAACATATATATATATATATATATATACATATATATATATATGTTTCAAGCATGTTTCAAGCATGCTTGGAACATCGATCCGACATTTTGAACACATGTTAAAGTCACGGATAGGGCTGTTAGGGGGTCCATTGTCGTGGCATCCACAAGAAGAGAGCGTCCGGGTCCGCGCGTCGGGGAGGAGGTGGCCCGCGGATCAGGACTGGGGCCAGGGCCCTGCAGGTCCCCCGCAGAGGGCGCGAAGATAGCCTCGCCTCGCGCTTCGCGGTCCAGGCCAAGGTGGCCTTCCTCTCCAGGGGGTGGGGCGGGGGGCGGTCCCAGAGCGCGAAGAGGAGCGCGCTGCGCGAGGTGCGAGGCTCGTTTCGCGGGAGGGGAACAGATCCATGTCCACAGGTCCGTGGTCCAGACTCCGCGGCCGTGACCCAACGGACACATGGCGGTTTTGCCCAGATGCCTTAGGCGGAACGTTGCAACCGTGAGATCGCGCTCCGGTGTACAGTCGGCGAGGGCACGGATGTGGACATATTCGTCGCTCGCGGTGTAGGTGTCCCCGTGGATCGGTATCACGATCGGGTCCAGCGGGCCGCCGGACCGGGATCGGGAGCGCTATCGCGGGCCACGGTGCTGCTCCTGAGGCCACGGCCCAGCAGCACCTCAGGGGCGCGGACTTCAGGAGCGGCGAGGCGCTCGCGGGGCTCGCGCTCGACGCGGAGCTGCGGAAGGCGGAGGCCGCGGGCGCCAGGGCGCGGGCGCTCTTCCAGGAGCTCGGGGACATGTCCGGCGCCGCGGAGGCCCTGCTGGTGATCCTCCGCAGCGCAGGCGCCCTGGGGCAGGCCGTGCGGGCCCGCAGGCTCGTAGAGGAGGCGCTGGCCAAGGCGCGCGCCGAGGGCGACCGCTGCGGCGAGGGCGCGAGCCTGCTGGGGCTCGCGGAGGTGCAGGCGGAGCAGCGCGGGAGCCAGGCGGCAGCGGAGGCGCTGGAGACCGCCGGGGAGGCGGTGGAGGCCTGGGCGAAGAGCGAGTGGGCGATGGAGGATCGGGTCGAACGGTCCGAACGAAAGGGGCTCCTCCTCCTCCTCCTCCTCCTCCTCCTCCTCCTCCTCCTCCCCCTCCTCCTCCTCCTCCTCCTCCTCCTCCTCCTCCTCCTCCTCCTCCTCATCCTGTTCCTCCTACTCACACGAAAAGGGGGGATTGGGAAAGGGGGGGGTACGAAATTTGCTGCATGCAGCCGGTTTCGGCCCCACCGAGGGGCCCAGTCCTCGAGACATGGCCGCCTTCGGGAGGCGCCGGGAAAGTCAGCTACGTGAGCTGATTCTCACCCCCAGCTACGTGAGCTGATTCTCACCCCCCCCCTTTGCTATCCCCCCTTTTCGCCCGGCCCGAGAGGAGCTCGAGGTGACCGCGCTCCTCCTCATCAGCAGGCTGCACGGCAGGACTGGCGGCGGCGACCACGCGAGGAAGCGGGCCGAGGAGGCGCTGAAGCTGGCCGAGTCCACCGAGGACATCGCCGTGCGCTGCACCCAGTCCGCGCGTGTGCACCAGCGGCTCGCGGTGCTGGCAGTCGAAGGCGGCGATGGCAAGCTGGCCAGGGAGTTCGCCGACAACTCGTGGCGGCTCCTCCGCGAGCAGGGCAGCCCGGAGGCAGAGGCGGAGGGGCATTTAGATCTTGCCCGCGAGCTTCTACGCGGGCGTTTCGCCAAGGAGGCCCTCAGGCCGGCTGTTCGCAAGAGCGGGGCCGGCGTGCAGAGCTCACACATCAGAACACCAGGATGCGCCACCAGGCAGTGTGGTACCCATGACGTGGTCGGCCTGGGCAAGGAGTCGCTGCGCATGTGGATGCCTGTCTTCCTAGCGCTCGGCGCTGGGTCCTCGTATAGCCAGACACGCTGGCTCTCCGCATGTACGTCCAGCGCACGGCCCCTGCATGCTTCACATGTGAATCCAGGCGCGCGTCTGCGTGTGTGTGTGTGTGTGAGTGTGTGTGTGTGTGTGTGTGCGTGTGCGTGTGCGTGTGCGTGTGCGTGTGCGTGTGCGTGTGCGTGTGCGTGCGTGCGTGCGTGCGTGCGTGCGTGTGTGTGTGTGTGTGTACGTGTGTGTGTATGTGTGTGCGTGTTTGTTATCATTATGTGTATTGCGGCCCTGATTTGCATACAGCGTGCCCCCTGCTGCCTATCCGCCAGAGCAGCCGACCTCTGCCCAGCCGCCGACGCAAGAAAATGTGTGTGTATGTGTGTGTGGGACTTTGAGTATTTGTGTTTCAGCTCGTTGGTAGTCTTGTCGGTTCAGTACGACTTGGAGGTAAGAGGTTCCCTGCGCTGGAAGGCGCGGCTCCTGGCATGTTGCAGGGAATCGTTGTGATAGTTTCCCCTGGAGACCTGGACTGAGCTCCAGGTTTCCAGCGGACCCAACATGTTTGGAAATCGCGGTGCTTGCGAGAGAGTTTCGGTGAGCAGCATCACGTGTTGCTGGCGACAGGTCGCCCAATGTCTCCAGAAGCATCGTCATTTGACCATGCGGTTCGAGTTTTTTTTTTTGATCGGAGGGCACTCACACCCCTTTCTTGCGAAGAGTCGATCAGGGAATCGGAAGAGGCGTTGCAGGGCTTCCGCGCTTGCAAAACGTTCAGGCGACAGGAGGTTGTAGCCTTGTCTATTGTGGCAGAGGCGCACGTGATGCTTGGAGAAGAAAACGAAGCACACAGTACCGTACTGAAAAACCTGACGCGTCTTGAGAAATCAAGCAAGAACGCATCGGACGAGGCCGTTGCCTATTGCCAATATATCGCAGCATTCACGTATCGGCTTGCGTATCCGTACGACCCCAATTCCGTGAAGATGGCACAGGAGTCGCTCGAAAACTTCCAAGATTTGGACAACCGGCGGATGGAGGGCGTTTTGTTGCGAACAGTCGCCCTTGCACATCAAACAATGAAGCTTATGGACAAGTCCCTGGTGACGATTGTGAAGGCACTTGCTGTCTTCAAAGAAGTGGACGATCTGTCCCAGTGGGCACACACTGCAATTCAACGCGGGCGCATCTATATCCAGCAAAGGGAGTGGAATGCCGCGCTTGGGATGGCCAGAGAGGCAGCAGACACATTCGAGCGGATCGGGGACAAGGTGGGAGTCGCCGAGAGCCGGCTGATGGAAGCAAGCGTTCGGTTTCAAATGGAGCGCTTCCAAGATTCGGGTGACAAGGCTTTTGAGGCACTCAAGGTGTTCCAGGCCTGCAGCTGGAAGGCAGGGGAAGGATTCGCGTATACCTTGATCAGCGACATCCAGATTGAGCTTGGCAACCTCGACAAGGTCGGGGAAACGTAAGACTCGAGTGCGCCGGAACTCGGGTTTGCCGACGTTTTTTGACGAGCGCGCCCTGGATTTTGACGGGCCAGTTTCCGTTGGATGTTTGCAGCGGGAGTTCGCGTCAAATTTAAGACTGGGCCTCGTCAGTTTCAAGATGGCCCCGTCAGGCCAACTAGGCCAACCCGAGTTCCCCAAACCCGAGTCATACGTCTCCCCGACAAGGGTGTGGCGGCGGCGAGGCGCGCGGCAGAGGCATTCAAGGGAGGCAGCCACGAAGAGGAGGCAGCCACACTCATGCTGCTGACTCGGGCGATACTTCAAAGGATCACAGCGGCCGACTTCAGGAAGGCTTCCTTCGCGTTCCACGAGAACTTGAAGGAGGCGCGCGAGTCGTCGTACAAGGCAATCGAGCTGGCGCAGCGCTGCCGCAGCCTTCAGCTCGCGGCCAACGTGTACCTCGCAGCCGCAGAGATGGAGCTCCTGGACTTCCGGCCCGACATGTCGGTGGTTCACGCCGCCGAGGCGAGGGAGATCTTCCAGAAGATGGGGCAGGAGGCACAGGAGGCGAAGTGCCTGGACGTCCAGGCGGTAGCGCACATGCAGGTGGGCATGCACGAGAAGGCCTGGCACCTCGCCCGCGGGGCGCAGGACATCTTCGAGCGGATTCGGGACACGGGAAGAGAAAACACACGCGCCGACTCCTAGCCACGCCAGGCCCGCACCAGGCGTGAGAATATCAGGAGGGAAAGAAATACCCAGACACAAGTGATCGTCGATTTCCCAGAAGATATGGGAAAGTATGGGAAGCGGGGGAGAAGACAGAAACCCAGAAAATATGGGAAATACGGGGAATCCCTTGATTTGTGTGTATTTATTTGTGTGTCCCAGGGCCCCTTCAGAATAGGGGTCTCAGCGCAGTCTCTCCCAGGCCCAGCGAGCGGCCACGAGGGGCGGCGCGGGAATCCCAGGCCAAGGGGGGGTTGGTGTCAGGAATTTGAAAAAAACAAAAAAACACAATTCATCATCGATTCCCCAGAAAATATGGGAACATATGGGAATTGGGCGGGAAGACACAAACCCAGAAACTATGGGAAAATATGGGGAACCATTGTATTTGTGTGTATTTACTTGTGTGTCCCAGGGCCCCTTCATGGTTGTGTTGCCGCTGGCTCCCCAGGACAAGAATGGGGTCATGCAGATGAACCAGCTCTTGGAGCGCATCGAGAAGCTGTACGTGCCGCCCCGTGCGCTCAAGAAGCCAGCGCAGGCGGCGGCGGCGACCGCAGCCGCCGCGGCGCCCCAGCCAGAGGAGGACGCGCCGCAGAAGCAGAAGAAGACCGGCGAAATTCGTAGCCGCGAGCAGGCGGTCGATTTGAGCGACTACATCCAGTTGTCGATGCAGGAAGCTTTGTCAGACCTATTGGGTGACCACGTCGAACTTGACAGTCCCCTGATGGCGAGTGGGCTTTCGAGTGGCATGGCCATGGCCATGAAAGGTCAGCTCGAAGAAGATTTCTCTGTGATGCTCCCCTCTACATTGCTGTTCGATTACCCGTCCGTCATTTCCGTAGCTGAGTTCATCGTGGGCAAGCTGGGCACTAATGCGTTGCCCGGGTGATGTCACCATGCCAGCAGTCGTGTTCCGCAGGTTGCAGAAGACCCCAAGGCGGAGGTGACAATCACCGTGCCGTACTTCAGTTCGGCGCCATTTCACGCCATAAGAGGTAGAGTGACTCGATTAGTTCGAGGCACACGAAGATGCAAAATATCCGGCATCGGCGTGCATCATGGTCCTGCATCGACAAGGTTGAGCGTCAGAACCGTCGCCATCGCTATGTGGATAAGCATGGTCGTCATCAGCACCGTGCGAGTTACGATTCCCTTGGCTCCGCCGCAGCCTCGCAGAATAACTGTTTGATCTCCTGCCATTACGAGTCGAAATGCTACTTGCATTTGTTCGGTGACTGTTGGGCTCAAATTGGTGCCCGTTGGCCCGAGACCTCGGAACAGCATGTCATTGTCACCCCCCCGAGCTCTATGCGCATCGCGCGTACACAGTCATCTTCGATTGCATCGCTCCTCGCATTCCAGCGGCCCATTGGGATACCTTCCGTAATTTGAAGGACTGCAAGTTGGAGTAACATAGGCGGTGCCTTGCCAGAAGTGGCGCACGCGAGCAAGAACGACCTTGGAGAGTGGCTCACCCTGTGTCGTCCTCTTGTCGTCGTCCTCGTGCCGTCGTTGTCGCTGTCCTCCCAATCGTGCGGGATCCCCGAGTCTTCAGGATCCTCCAAGGGCTAGGGTGGTCCAGACTTCATTTCGCTGGCGTCCCGAGTGCACAGCTTACTCGAGGGACGATCTCGGGCCCAGGGGAGGCTCGGGGCTTCGTGGGCAGAGGCCAGGTTTGTGCCCAGTGCGGGCCCCAATAATATATACACCACTACCACCCCCATTCCCCCCTCTCTCCTCCACCCTCCTCTTCCTCTCCTCCTCACTGGGAGAAGGAGGGGGGTGAGAGAGGTACAGTCAAAAACCCTAATAAGGACGCGCGACTTTGCTCAGGGTACCCTTGCGTCCTCGCTCTTCCTTGCCCTTGCGTCCTTGAGGTTTTCGCCGTCCGCCGCCCCAAAAATCCCAACTTCGGCTTCCAAGGGTCTTGCGTCCTTACCGCGCGTCCTTATTAGGGTTTTTGACTGCCACCCCCATGCCCCCCTCCCTCCTCCACCCTCATCTTCTTTTCCTTCCCACTGGGAGAAGGAGGGGGGGGCGAGTGGCGGTGGTGGTGCATACCTCTGGGCCCCGTACCCGAGGCACCGCGGGCTGGGCCCCTGGGCCGCGCCCTGGTGGGCACGGGGGGGCGCTTTTCGCTGCGGATGCCCTGCGCGGAACGTCCACGCAGACACAATCAATCGTCGATCTCCAGGAAAATATTGGAAATCTATGAAAATATTAGAAAATATAAGAAAGTATGGAAAATATTAAAACATATGGGAAAAGATGGGAACGTTCAGGAGGGGAAACACACAGACGCAAGTCATCGCCGATCCCCAGGAACAGATAGGAAAATATGGGAAGGGGGGGGGGAAGGCAGAAACCCACTAGAAATATGGGGAAACGATGGGGGAATCTTGTGATTTGTGTCTATGAATTTGTGTGCCCCAGGGCCCCCTCCAATGTGCCCCGGTGCGACTGCGCCTCCGCGGGACCGCGCCACGGAACATCCAGACCGCAAAAGCCGTGGACACGGGCACGTGCGCCGCTCGCGAGGCATCGTCCGTCTTCCCTCCCAGGCCGTCGTCGGCGCTGGGGCCCCTCGGTGGCGCCTCCGGCGCTGCCCCTGGCGCGCTCCGCGCGCCAGGGAGGGGGATCCCGCGCCGATCCGAGAAATCCGCGCGGACCTCCGCGTCGTCGGCACACGTGCGCCGCTCGCGAGGGATCATCCGTCTTCCCTTCCCGGCCGTCGTCGGCAGCCCACTCCCTGGAGGGAGAGACGACGGCCCGCCCCGCGAGCACGACGCCCGCGGCGGCGCCTCTCTGCAGCGCCGCCTCACCGCGCACCCCCTCCTGCGCCGAGGCCAGCTTTTAGCCCGCCTCCTCGGCCCTCTTCTCTGGGGGCCCAAAGAATATACACCACCACCACGTCGATTCATCCTCTCTCCTCTTTCCAGCGAGAGGGAGGGGGGGAGGGAGGTGGTGGTGGTGTATATTTTCAGGGGCCCATCCTCAGTGGAGGAATAACCACCCGGACTGGATAATCGGCGTTTACGAAACAGCCCTGGGCGTTTACGGAACAGCCCTGCCCCGTTTGATTCCTCCTTCGGGTGCGTGTACGGAACGGCCTCGCGTGCCGGGGTGGTCATCCTCGGGGTGGACTGCTTGCCCTCTCCTCTCGCCCCCCTCCCGCTTCGGTCCGTCTCTGCCGCTCGCTTGCCCTCTGGCCCCCGCCTCGCTCGTTCTCGGGCCCCCCCTCGGCCCCCGCCTCTCTGCCCTGCGGCTGCCCTCCAGGGGAGCCAAGGGCTCGACGCCACCGCACGCCCGCGGCGCACCGAGCGGCGTGGCCGCCCGGCCCTCGGGGCCGCACGCGGGGCCGCGGCGGCCGCGAGGCTCCGCGCCCTGCCCCCCCCCCCCCGCGGAGGCGGCCAGGGCGCGCGGCGGGGGCGCCCTGTGCGAGCCTGCTTTTGGGGGGGCCCTGGCAGGGCTCGGGGGCGGCAACGAGGGGGGGGATGACTGGGGGAGGGGGTGGATACCATGGCGGGGGCCATGGTGTCATCGGGGGCGGAAAAGGGGGGTGATGACTGGGGGGGGGGTGGACATCATGGCGGGGGCCATGATAGTTCCTCAGATTTCATGGCGCCTCCTCTTACTCCAGTGCGTCCCTGCCCCCCCCCGCTGGGCCGCGCACGTGCCGCAGGTCATGATTTGCACCCCCCCTCTTGGACACCCCCCCTCTGGGCCGCTCCCGAAAGGCAGGGCGAGGAGCCAGTCTGGACCGCACCAGTGCCCTGGCAGGTCTTGGTCTGGGACCTTGCCAGAATCCTGCCATGGCCTCGGCAAGGTCTTGCTGCGCGGACCGCACCAGCACACCGACAGGCCTCTGGTGGGGAGATCTTTCCGCAGAGGCGCTCGGTATAGGGCTCAGTCGGCGGTCAAAAGCTGCGCTTCGTGGGGGAAGGGAAGAAGGCCCCGAGTCAATGTTGTCAGTCTACCTTGTCCTTTTTCTCCATCGCGCCGCTTCCCCTCCCATCAGTCCGCTGCACGGCGTGATGGTCAAGGTGGAGGGCCAGGGCGCCGACAAAGGAGGGGAGAGAGGGGAACGGGCCAGGAGAGCCGCGCCTAGTGGTCAACCGAGGGATCGAGGTTCGAGGGTCCATGGCTTTTCTCCAGATAGACTTGTCTATGGGAGTCCCAGCTCCACACATAGAGAACTGGTCCTCTGTTCCCCTTCATCTGTTTTGCATTTGCATTGTCAAACTGTCCGCATGGTCTCCTATGTATCCGCGTGGCTTCCTCTGCATCCACACTGATGCCTCTGTATCCGCATGGCTTTCTCTGCTATCCGCACGGTTCCCTCTGTATCCGCATAGCGGCCTCTGAGATTCCAACGGCGCCCTGTGGCTATTCCAACGGCGCCCGGTGGCAATTCCATTGCCGACCGAACAATCGTCCGACAAACGTCAAACTGAAAAATACAGTAGAGGTAGAGTAGAGAAGGGTAAAGAAGAGTAGATAATTTAATACTAGATTAGCAAAGTAGTGCAGAATGAGGTAAAGCAGGGCAGTGCCGAGTAGAGTAGCGCAGAGCATAGCAGAGTAGAGCAGCTTAGAGTGGAAGATACGTCACTCGAGTAAAGCAGGGTAGAGTAAGAGGCGAGTCTTAATATACGTAGGAGTCGCAGCATAGCAGAGTATAATGGAGTGGGTTAGAGTAGGTAGGGTAAAGTTAGCCAGCTCGAACGAGCCAGGGGGCTCCGTCCACTCCCACTCGCCCTCCCACAACATAAGAAGCAATTGCGTCGCGTCTGACGCCTGTCGCTCATCTTAAGTGGTGGGCGGCTAGACATGCAGCGCGCGACATGAGCTGTGTCCTATCCCTTACGCGTAGCGAGCAACGTCGACGAGAAACAAAACGGCGCGCGATGTACGCCGCGCCCCGCTCTGGCCTCTCATGTTGCATCGTCGGCGACAACATGTCCAGCGCGCGAAGTGCGCCGCGTCTCATTCCAGCCACGCGTGTTGCACCGCGAATAGTTTCGCTCCTGCCGCGCATGGAGGAGGGGGAGGAGGGGGAGGAGGAGGAGAAGGAGGAGGAGGAGGAGGAGGAGGAGGGAGGGGAGGAGGAGGGGGAGGGAGAGAGCACGGGAGGGATAAACTGAGGATGAAGAGGATAACGCCTCTTGGGAATTCGCGGGTCGTCCTGGGAGCTTTCTGGTATATGCTTAAGGGCCTCTTGGATGTATCTTCCGGGCTGGAACATTGTCAACACAAGTAGGTGCTAACCTCACAATATTCCAAAAACCAAATGACAATCAGTATTTGTGTTGCCCCCCCAGGCCCTCTTGGACGCCTTTTTCCGACCTCTTGGGGGTCTCCGGAGGCATTTGCTTGAACCGCACATGTTTGAGGCATTATGAGTTGCCGCCCGCCTAGTTCCTCAACCCGACGGGCCGCAGCGTCGACTACAAGAAAATCCATGTTGACGACCAGGCGTCCACGCGCGATGTGCGCCGCGTCCCATTCCCGCCACGCGATTCGCAGCGCCGACGAGGAGACAGTATATGTTGGCAAGAAAACTCGACGTCGCGGTGCTTTTTGGCAGGACGGGGGGTCCCGCGCAGGGTTGGCCCGGCGTCCGCGCGCGATGTACGCCGCGTCGCGTTCCTGCTACACTTTTCGCAGCGTCGACGACAAGAAAGTACACGTTGACGAGAAAAACGTTGACTTTGTTCCCTACCCAGGCTCTGCCTAGAGGGTTCTTACTTCGTTCCCTACCTAGGCTCTGCCTAGAGGGTTCTTAGTTTGTTTGCTTAGAGGGGCCAGGCAGTGTAAAACGCCCCGGGCGGTGCCCCCAGTCCCCGCCCCGCGGTTCCCCCAGTTGCGCCCCTGGGTTCCCCTAGTTTAGCTAAGCTTAGCTTAGCTTACCTTAGCTTAGCTCAGCTTAGCTTAGCCTATCTCATCTTAGCTTAGCTCTGCTTAGCTTTGCTTAGCCTAGCCTAGCTTAGCTTGGCTCAGCTCAGCTTAGCTTAGCTTAGCCTATCTCATCTTAGCTCAGCTTAGCTTAGCTTGGCTTAGCTTAGCTTAGCCTATCTTAGTTTAGCCTAGCTTAGCTTAGCTTAGCGTAGTTTAGCTTGGCATAGCTTAGCTTACCTTAACCTAGCTCAGCGCAGCTCAGCATAGCGCAGCGCAACATTAGCACAGCATAGCATAGCACAGCCAAGCATAGCATAGCTTATCATAGCGTAGCATAGCCCAGCACAGTATATAATAGCATAGCATCGCATAACACAGCGCAGCATCGCATATCATAGCATAGCATAGCGTTGCTTAACATAGCACAGCGCAACATAGCATAGCATAGCACAGCATAGCACATCATATCATAGCAAACCATAGCACATCATATCATAGCATCGCATATCATATCATAGCATATCGCAGCACAACGTAGCATGGCATAGCCTAGCAAAACACAGCATAGCGCAGCATAACATATTATAGCCGAGCATACAATAACAGAGCGCCGGGTAACACAGCCTAGCATAACACAACACATGTAAATGTAGCTGTCGGTGTAGATGTAAACGCTGCTTTCCTAAATGCTCCAACTCCTGGGTAGGGTCGGGCAGTGTAAAACGCCCCAAGCGGTTGCCCCAGTCCCCGCCCCGCCGTTCCCCCAGTCGCTTGGGAGCTTTAGCTGTAGCTTTAGCTTTAGCTTAGCTTTAGCTTTAGCTTAGCTTCAGCTTAGCTTCGGCTTAGCTTCGGCTTAGCGCTAGCTTAGCTTTAGCTTAGCTTCAGCCGAGTTTTAGCTGAGTTTTAGCTTATCTTTAGGCTTAGCTTCAGCTTAGCTTGAGCTTAGCTTGAGCTTAGCGTTAGCTTAGCTATAGCTTAGCTTTGGTTCAGCTGTTGCTTAGCTTCAGTTTAGCTTTACTGCTACTACGAATGCTGCTTGCCTAGGGGTTCCAACTCCCAGGTAGGGTCGCACTGAGATAATATTGCTTTTGACGGGTAGGACGCGACCACCCGCTCAGGGTGACCCAAGCGATGTTCATTCCATCCCATTCCTGCTACACTTCGCAACTAGACGACATGTTTGCGAGAAAAAAGTTGTGTGTGTGTTGTTTTTTGACCGTTGGGGCGGCGGGGCTGCTATCGGCCGGCTACGTGGGGACGTGGGGGTGTCTCATCATCTCATCATAGGAAGTAAGGATAGAGCACGCCAGGGGAGAGTAGAGCAGAGTGACGTAGAGTCGGGTAGATAGTAGAGCACACAGGGTAGAGTCGGGCAGGATCGAGGAAACAAGAGTACACCAGAGTAGAATGGAGCAGGGACAGAGCAGAGCAATGCAGGAGTAGAGTTCAGTAAAACAGATTGGTGTGGAGTAGGATCAGGTGTGGGTTGAGAGAAGGTGAAGTAAGATCGGGCATGGGTTGAGAGTAGGGTAGGTTGTGGAGCAAAGTCGGGCAGAATAGGGAGAAGTAAATTATAACAAAGCAGAGTAGAGTACAGTAGGGTAGAGCAGAAAAAAAAATGCAGTAGAGAAGGGAAGGAGTAGAGTTGAGCAGGTGTAGAGTGTAACACAGTAGGGTAGAAAAGATTTGCTTAGCTTAGAGCAGAGGAGCTGGAAGAACAGAGTCCACCCCAGTCCAGGCCATTCTACTCCACTCCAGTCCAGTCCACTGTATCCCGGTCCTCTTCTGTATTCGGGGTCTTCGTTGGCGAATATTGCGTACCTGGTTCCTTTGCCACTGCTGATTCCCCCCTCGACATGCTGGTAGAAGCATCCCCCACGATGGGCCGTCTCCATGGTGGTCCGATGATTTTCCGATGGGTCCCGATGGGCAATTACATGCCAGAGTAGAGGTTTTGTTTGTTTGTCCGCGATGGCGAAGATGACGCAATCACGGGTGTGAGTGCCCTATCAAGGTTGTTTGGTGGTGTTGGCATTTGGGTTGTTGCCGCCGATTCGCAAGGCTCTGCCACCCGAGGTTGCATGATGCATTGTTTCTTCTACGTCCTGCCCACTTGCAATGCCCTGATCATCACCAGCATCGTCGCCATGTATCGTCACCAGCACAATTGCCATCACGCATCGTCACCAGCTCGCGAGCACACCACCAGCACCGACATCATCACACTCATCGCAGTTGTCGTCAGTTGGTTCCTTCTACAACCTCCATGTCATCCGGAGGGTGGTCGCATAGGTACCCGAAGGGCAAATCACCATTCGGACATTCGAAGCAAGGTCGCTTACTTAAACAAGGCATCCCAGTGCGAGCATGCCCTGATTAGGATGAAGCCTTTCCGTATGCTGCCAATTGACGGAAAGAGGCGTGATTGCGCGCCTGCAGGTCGGAATGCGTTATGTACGCGAAACTCGGCCCTTGGGCCCTCAGGACCTTCCCCCCAGGATTCCCGGGGAAGCCCCACGAATTACCAAGACGGCCCGGGTGCCCTCCTGCATCTCACGAGAGTGATTCCCTTTGACACTTGGAGGGGCTAGCCCGGCACAAGATACTCTCAGATGGCCCCTGGAAGGCGTCAAAAGGCCGCAAGAAGACATTTCAAAAGAACCGACAGCCCGCCAAATGTTTGACAAGACACGTTTCCTCCTCACGTCTCTGACACGTTTCAAGATTCCGCACTTTTCAGTTACCCCTGGACGTACCCAGCTCATCTGCAACAAGTAAGGATACCAACAGGTTCACGCAATACGATTGGCCATTTGAAAGGGCGTTCTGTCTCTTCTGCGAGCTGCCTGCGGAACCTACGCATTACCCGCCCGAAGAGAGCTGGTGACAAAGCTAAGCACGGTGTAAACGTAAGACGTAACCCAGGTTGACCTCCCAGGAGCCCACGAAAGCCGCGGCAAGTTAGCAGATGGCAGCGCCCAGGGCGGGGAGGTGTGCTTTGACCCGACTTTTCGAGCTTTAAAGTGTAGACAAGTTCGCAGCTGGCAGCGCCCAGGGAGGAGATTTCAAGGCCGTGTCCGTGTAGGAGGACTCTAACCCGCTGGACCTCCCAGAAGCCCACTGAAGTGCAAGCCCAGGGAGGGGAATATGATAGTTTT